TACTACTACTACTACTACTACTACTACTACTAGTACGACTACGACTACGACTACGACTACGACTACGACTACGACTACGACTACGACTACGACTACGACTACGACTACTACTACGACTACTACTCCTGCGGCTGTCTGCTGTCTGGGGGAGAGTAACTGGAGGATGCAGCATGAAAATAGGCCGGGGAGCACCACTGCGCCGCAAGAACCTCCACCTGCTCGGTCTCTTGTCTTCGGGGGTTTAGGGCTAGGCTCCGATGTGACGTGAGGTTTATAACGGAGTGGCCGATGTTTCAGCAGTCGCAACAACAAACTGCGTAGGGATAGCCGCCAGCAGAGTGGTAATCAGCTCGCCACTCTGGGCCGTTAAGCCTTCTGACACAAGGCTTTTAATGACGAGGCTTCAAAGGTAATGTAGGGGCCTGAATAATTACCTATGCTATCTTGGGGGCTCCGTATGATAATTATTGTATGAAATACCCCCAAACCCTATTCTAATTATGAAGTTCCCCGGCTTCAGGGATTTCAGGACTGCTTTGCCAAAACATCCTAAACCCTAAGCCCTAAATCTTGAACCCTAAACCCTAAACCCCAAATCCTGAACCCTAAACCCAGAATCCTAAATCCTATAAACCCTAATCCCTCAGATGTTCAAATCTGAGCTTCTGCAGCTTGAGAGCTGAAAGAGGAGCTACTCCAGGAGTCCGCAATCAGGGTTTAGGGTTTAGGGTTTAGGGTTTAGGGGTTTAGGGTTTAGGGTTTAGGGTTTAGGGTTTAGGAGTCCGCAATCCCTCCCTAAGATTGGTAAAACCACCCATCCCTCGGACTAATACGTAGGGGCCTTAATAATCAGAATAGGGTGTTGAGGGCATATTATACTATAGTTATAATAAGGAAGCCCCCTCCCAAAAAAAAATAGTATAGGTAATTATTGAGGCCCCTACATTACCCCGAGAAGCTTTAATGCTTTTGGCGGCGGGCTGTTGGGAGGATGCCCGGCAAACACCAGCGAGTCTTCATGCGCCAAGCCGGTTGCATACCTAAACAAAAATGTCTGGACGGTCTCCTCGGCAGAAGCAGGGCCACATCCAGTGCGATCACCCCGCTCTTCGATCCGTAAACCCTAAACGCCCTAAACCCTGAACCCTATAGACCCTAAACCCCATAAACCCTAAACCGTGCTGTGGGGTCCGGATCTAGATCGTCGGAATTCATGGCACTGACAGCAGGAGTCGAGTCCCTTGCGCATAAACCCAGCTTCACTGCCCCAAACCGAAGTCATCCCTAACCCTAAACCCTAAACCTAAACCCTAACTGGAGAAGTTTTCGTATTAGGGCGGATCCGGAGGTTACCGTTTCAGGTTTAGGTTAGGGGTTATTGGGGCTTGTGGACAAACTTGAAGCATCAGGGTTTTAGGTGCCCGGCTTAGGCTAGGAATTGTTTCCTACTTTGCCACCTCGCTTCGAACACACTTAGTTGCTCAGTGGCTTGACCCTTGATGCAGGCCCCTGAAGCGTACCCTAAACCCTAAACCCTAAACCCCTAAACCCTAAACCCTAAACCGTCGTAGCGTAAGCCTCAAATGGTTTAGGGTTTAGGGTTTTACCAATCCCCGTAGCGCTCCAAAGACCCAAACACAGGCCACATAAACGCATCTTCCTAGCCCTGTTGAAGAAAGCTCGAGGGCTGGGTTTCGAGTTTAGGGTTTAGGGTTTAGGGTTTAGGGTTTAGGGTACCTAGACCTAGAGAGTCCATGAGGGGTACACCGCAAAGTTGTTGATTCTAGGCTTTAGGCTGGGTTTTGCAGCCGAAACGGGCCCAAACCCTAATCCCGAAAGCCTAGATCCTATCCTAGAGCCCTAAGCCTTAAAACCTACATCCAGAACCCTAAACCTTAGACCCCACAACCTTCTCCCCTAAGATCCTAACTCTGAGTCCAAGGCCCTAAACCCTAAACTCTAAACCCCCTAAACCCTGCTGGGAACCCTTCAAGGTACTATAGTACAAGCCCAGAAGTTGGAAACCAATAATTTCAATCCTTAAGAGTATTGTATAGGGAATATCAGCACTATTTGTCCTGCATCCGGTTTCCAATTTTTTGGGGTTTACTCTACCCATAGGCCCCATATAGCAGTTCCTTTTTTGGGAGTACCTAATAGGATCCTAAATATAAGCCACAAAAAGGAACTACGATGAAGCCCGGAGAATCGCCTCGTCCCAGTGGACGCCGCCCAACTGCGACCAGAAAGGCTTCTCCTGCAACGTGAGATTTCAGGGTCTGGAAGGGTTTAGGGGTTTAGGGCTTTGAAGGGTTTTTTTGGGGGTTTAAGGCTTTGAAGGGTTTATATAGGGGTTTAGGGTTTAGAAGGGTTTAGGGGTTTCGGGTTTTTAGGGCATTGAAATTCGGGGTTTTAGGGTTTTGAAGGGTTTAGGGTTTAGGGGTTAGGGGTTAGGGGTTTAGCGGTTTAGGGGTTTAGGGCTCTAGGGTTCAGGGTTTAGGGGTTTTGGGGTTGGGGGTTTAGGG